ATAATAGAAGTTGATCTAAATATTCAGCATATTCCATGGTTTCTTAGGTAAGTAAAAAATTGTCCATATGAATTCCTTGAATAAGAATATCAATTGATCTATGCTAATAATATTTATAAGTATTGATCGTAAAGATAGGTGCAATGTCATAGCATATTTTTTGTAGTCTAAGTTCAAAAGTATAATGGACTTCCAATTGGTTAAAAAGCAACAATCTCCATCTTTATGAAGAAGGGTTATTGTACTAGTAGTAACTCAAGGAAGGAGGAATCCTAAAATAAAGCTAGTATAAATCATTTCTATATATCGTTAGCCAATTATGTCTCAAAAAGTGAGATAGAACTCTAGTACTACATCTGGATCCATATACTTAAATTTAGCTATTATTTAAAGTATACAAATTATTTCTTAGAGTGTTAATGGGTCTTTTAGTAAATTTAATGTCTCTATATCTAGTATCATTTCTAATACTTTTTAGGCCTAATCATGCACCTCCTTAACTACTTTCGAATTTTGACTTGCTCTTTATAGTTTGTGATAATAATCTATACAGAACTTGGACATAGCGGCCTGGTTGGTATATAATTGCTCTAAATAGTCTACCAATTTTGAAATATAAGAGCTTAACAACTATTCTTGATTAACATTAAAAAATTTCCATGAGCACCTTTCTCTGACTTGCCACCATTTGATTTTGTTCCATACCCACCCTCCCTTAGTTATTTGTACATCCATAGCTTTGAATTTTTTCATATACTAAACTATATTTTATTGGAGACATGAATTATTGGGATCTCTATATAATTCCAAAATTATATTTGTGATATTTTGGTAGAGAACATTTTCTTTTCAATGCAACTCTCTTCTTTTTTGACACACATCTTTATAAAACTTCATACAACACGTATTTTTCTTTAAAAAGATAGATTAAATGGATATTTCAAATTTAAAAAATTTGATTTAGATTGTTAAATCCTAAAGGTATGATGGATTTATCACATATTATAATATGTACTTGATTTCTAGGAAGAAAAAAATCTATTTTTATATCAAGAGGTGGTCAAAATGGTTGTTATCACCAAGTATGTAATAATCAATACTTGTGAGTTGCTTTCCAAGAGAGACAAAGGAATACACTTTGACAAGCTGTGTTATGGTCTACAAATGTTTTCTCTGGTAATTATTTCAAATATAAAAAATATAATGAGATGTCAAAAAATTATTCAAAATTTATAGAATTTGTGTGAGATTGCTGATTAATTGTCTCTTACATGCAAGCAAGTGGATTCCTTAATATTTGACTTGTCAACATTTTTTTTGGAAAAATTTTAATCACCCTCTAAAATCCATTAGCAGTCTTTTAAAAGAGATTGAATTAATTCAATTTACAATTCATACCTCTCAATCGAGGTGAGATATAGGTAGATATTCAAAACATTAATGTCTATGCCAACTATCTTATAAAAGCTTAGCTATTGTGCCTTCTTTTTTTTCTGAGTATCTCTTAGTAACAATTAAGTGAGTCAATTGGGAAGCAACTCAAAGACATGTGCATCTGCTATTGACTCGATCATGTTGCAAAGCATTGTTATATATGATGGTCATTTTTTGTAGTTAGAAACTTGCATCAAGTTAGACCTTATTCTTCTAATCACTTTGTTATCTCAAAGTTTATGTTCTTGTAGACATAAGATATCTAATGATGATAAATAATGTTGCATGTAATGGCATAATAGATTGATTTTTGTGAGGGTGTTGAGACCTTGAGCATTTTGAAATATAAGCTTAATCTTCATATTATTGTAGTGAAGGTAGAAAAAAAAGAAGGAAGATAATTAGGACTATTCATATGTAGCTCAAAGTGTAGTTGGATGACTTCTACTTCTATGGAGGCGTAGATGAGCAATTTAGTGGGTCTTGGAATGTATAAGTGCTTATTGAGGTATACAATCATCCTGGTTGAAAGTTGCTATATCATTGGTAATCTTAACAATATGTTTTCTAATTTTTGTCTTTATAACTATTTATAGAAGATAGATATGAGTTCCAATGGTATTGTATATAAGTCCTTTCTTGAGAACCGTTTTAGAAAATTAGACAAGTAGAATATTTCTTCTAAATGGATTTCAATAGTAAATTAAACCACACAATGGCATTTTTGACTACTCATATATTGTGAGTCCTATTAGAAGAGGATTTAGCTAGTATTCTTTTATTCAAATCTATATTGGGCTAGTCTTATGTCTAAAGTATATCCTCTTACATATGATTCATAGTTTATTTATATGTTTTGATTTTGTCTATAAGTATATTAGGTGGTGTATTCCTAGTTGCATTCTCAATGGTGATTATTGTCCTCTTGATATCCAATGAGAGACTAGTTTATGTTGACTTTCTTTACTACTCTTACATTAATGATTTGCCCTACCTCCATATGTGATTATACTTGTGGTGTGGTTATATTCTTTTTTAATTGTAAAGCAACTTTGAGTTGATTATTGTTTTATTATTGTGATGAGTCAAGCCATACTTATTGACATTGGATTTTGATTGTATTACCTTGAGAACCGATGTTGTGATGGTAGATCTCCTTAGAAAAGATGCATTATTGAAGTACATTAAGATTATGCTCAAATTCACAAATTGGATAATTTTTCTTTCATTCCATTTGTTTTGAGCTTCAAAAAACATGTTTACATTAAAAAAAAATCACTTGTGTTTAGCAAAGATTTACATTTCCATATGTTTTTCCTAATATGCCACTATGTCCATCATATGTTTTTGCATTTATTAAGAAGTAGATCTTATTCAAAATATGTTTGGTTGTCAACAAGTTAGTATTTCTTTCTTGAGTTTAATGACTTGCCTAAATATATGAACAAATATGTTGTACAAGTAGCATTGAATAATTGTAGATTTATACTCACATTAACTATTGAGATTGGTATTGACAAGAAAGACTAGTTGCCTTGATTCTTTATAATTGAAGTTATATAATGGATTAAGTGACTAGACTCCTTTTGGATATCCGCACCTACCATTATGGATGGATCAAAGCACTGAGGTTCTTAAAGAACAGAGCATTCCTTTACAAGATGTAAACAAAGTAAATAATATTGATATCTAATCCTTCAAGTAAAACCTTAAATCCTTCCAATAAAATCTTACCTAAGAAAGCTTGCATAGAATGAATATCCATGTACCTCCCCATCTAGGCTATTGTGGCAATAAGTTCAAATTCCAATCTCTGCTTTTGCCATGCATATTCCACTTATAGTTGCCCCTTCAATATAATGGATGATATCATTATGTGCATTAGTCTGCTCTTCAATGCCATTGCAAAGGTTGTAATTAATACCATACTTCCTCATTTGCTTATAGCCCTAATACTGATTATATGGCTTTATGATGATTGTTCCTTACTTTAGTGCAAAAAACTAGCATAAGTTTGTCAGTAAATCCTAAACCCTAATTTATCCCTCCCTAAGTTGGCATCTTGTTTGCATTCTATGTTGAAGCGAAGATTATTAGTTCATTATGTGTTAAGAAAGGAAACTTAAGATTGGATCTAAACACCAATCTCATGTTGGATGTGTGATTCTACACTAGCTCACAATAAACCTCGCAACCTTAGGAAGAAACTTGCTGGAGCATCATTGTGCCTTAAAGATTTGAAGCCTTGTGTATTATTTTCCCTCTCCTTCCAATCATTTTTTCAAATATTTCACCATTGCCATGGCCTCATATTTCATATCATTGTATCTTTCATACAATAAGCATTAATACAAGGAATGTTTTAGTAAAAGAATTTTTTATTTTTATTTTTTTAATACTTAGTAATATATTGTGACAATCAGTGTGAAATTGACTTAAAACTCCTCCATTTTGTTCTTCCTTAAAATATTAACTTCTATATTATTATATGCATATATCAAAATCCACTTAGAATCATATGATCATAAATATAATTAGCATTATTATTGGGAGAGATGAAGATGATTTATTATTCCTCAAAGGACTGGTTTGGTCCCACACCAAGAGGCACTTTTGGTGCATATAATTGCCTAGGAAGGAGGGCTCAGAAACTTTCTGAACATGGGGCATTTTGTCTCTGGTAGCCCTCCATTGTGCCATGTGAAATGGGGGAGCCTGATGAATCAACCTCAGAACACAACACATGTTGGGCATGAATCACAATCAGGTGAAGGTGTAGGCACACACACACACCCACTCACTCACTACCATATCCCTTGCAGAACCTTCCTTCACCATGGTCTCCCAGAATCTTCATCGTAGTGCATGAACACTGCAGCAGCAGCAGGGGGTGCTCTGCTCTGGTCTGCAGCTGAGAAAGAGGAGTTTGAACTGGGTTGAGCTGGACAATTCTGTTGGCTTGCATCTGATGTGTGTGCTGCAACCAAGAGGGGTTCATTAAACCACCAGCATGTGAGTGAGGACATGGCCCTGTCAGCCTGCACTTGACTCATCCACCCCCCTGCACAGTAAGAGAGAGTGAGATTGATAATCAGTTGGTACTACCCCACCCCCCTTTATTTTGTTTTGATTTGTTTTATTTTGTTTTATTTTTTTGAGGACTTGGCTAGACCAGACTAGACTAGACCAGACTAGACTAGACCAATACCCCCTTGCCCTTGTAATACTATTACTAGTAATACTAATAGCAGTACAGGCTGATTGAATATTGCTTCTGAACCACCTTTGCAGCAAACTGTGATTCTTGTCACTGCAAATAATCCTGGTCTGTGGCAGGGATAAGTTACACCCCATGTCACTTCACTTGGCACCACCAGGAGCAGCAGAAGAAGCAGCCTCCCACCTCTTCCTTCCCCCTTTTCCCTATAAGGCTGCAGTGATATGCATAACTCTTGCCCCTGGTACAAACAACCAACCAACCAACCAACCAAACACGCACCTGTCAACTGAGAACTCAAACGTTACAATAATGCTGCCCCTGTGATTCAGAGTGCTGTTTTGTCTACAGTCCAACATACATACCCCCCCCCCCCTGTCAGCCTTTCACTTCATGGTCATGGGACTCTGGCCATATAATGGCTGCCCCCTCCCCCTTCCTGTTCTCATGCTACAATGTTGGGACCACAGCCAAAGGCAGGATGAGGAGGAAGAGGAGCAGCAGCAGCAAAAGGAAGGGAGGTTGTTTTACATGGATAGGGCTGTGACATGGTCCCATGGTACCTCATTTACCTCTAATTTGCTCTCAAGATGTAGCCAATGGTCCACTCACTCTCCAGGTATTTTGTTTTATAAGAGGCATTGCCCAACTATCCAAGAACTGCAAGCTTGTTGGGGAATAAATATGATTTTTAAGAAATAATATAAATTAACATAGATAGTTAAATACATCATAATGTATTGTAATTTTGATAGTGAAATGACCTTGATTTTGTGATGTTAAAACAATTATAAGGGACAGTATTTATTATTGTCTAACATTTGCTTGTTTCCACCCCAGAGAAATGAAAGTACCAAATTCTGTATAGATGGTTTGAAAGTGATATAGGTGATTTTCAATGCAGAAACCCTTTGTCAGATAGATAGATAGATGGGCAACTTGAACCACCACAATATCATTGTCTGGAGACTTTCAAAAAATCACCATCAAACTGAGTAGTTATGTGATATGTGTCAATGAGATGGTGTGGAGGGAAGTTAGGAGTTGAACAATTGGGGTGTGTCCTCTAGTATCATAATTCAACAGATATGGAGGATGATATACCAGAATGTTACATTCAGGGATTTGATGTTTTGAAGGGTTTTCAATGTGTATTGTTGGTCCTGTGACATTAATCACTGTCATGGACCTCACTGGCATGGAGCTGACAGACAATGGCAGATTTGGATGGGAGCTGAGTAGCAGTTGCAGGGGAGGAGGAGAGGTTGAATTGCATCAGCAGGGATGGTCATCTGGCAATATTTCAGCCAGAGGGAGAGAGTGGGAGAGACAAGTGGTAGTGTAGTGTAGTGTAGTGTAGTGTAGTGCACTATCTAACTCCCTTTCTGGGGGTCATGAAACATGGGTGCACTGCCCCACCTGCAAGACAATGCTGCCCTTGTATGGACCCCCACTCTGATGATGAGACATGTGATGAGACTGGCAACTGAATTGGAGATCTTCCCAGTATGATATCATCAATTATTTATTGTTCCAATGTCTCTTGGCTGATGGGCTTCAGGACTACTGCAATCCTCTCCCTCACCCCACTCTCTTCATGCTGCCACCTGTACCACTGTACACCTTGTCATTTACAATTGTAGATTTTGAGTTGGCTTGTGACAACATGGGTGTCAACTTGTCCTCTCACCAAGGAGTTGTAAGTGAATCAATGACACAGTTGTGGAATTCGGTTTTTTGTTGTTTCTCTTCGTCTCTTTCCCCACTCTCCCTCCTCAGAATGTGTTTTACTAGACCTCCTCTTGGTTCCACATCTACTAAGGAAATGGTCCCTTTTCTCTTCCTCCTCAAGTAAAACAAGAGTAAACAGCAAAAGAAAAGAGCCTGCATGGGCTCTAGAACTTTGACTGGATTTTTTCAGCCAGGAAGCTTAAGAGTTGCTCACTTCCAAGGCTCCTTGAGTCTCTGCATACCCATAGCTCTTACTACCCCCTCCTTTTTTCTTTTTTTTTCTTTTTATATTGCTCTATGGCAAACCAATGGAGAGCAGTATGTACTCTCTCCTTTTCTTTGGCCTCTGTCCATTATTAAGATCATTGTGCCACTAGCTAGTAGAAATAGTACAAATTGTGGCCCCTTGTTGTTGTGCAATGTTTTGTTGTACACAAGGGGGCTTGGTTTATCAAAACAACCATAACAACCAAAAATAAACAAGTAAATAAAACTTATTAAAACAATCATGTGGGTTGGAGATGGTTAACCTAATTGAACCTCAATCATGATTTTTTAATATAAATAGTACATAATGTTTATTATTCATGTTTGTTCCTTAGTATATGTATGTATGTATGTATGTATGTATGTATATAGACATAAACTTGTACATTATATATATATATATATATATATATATATCAAATTTGAAAAGAAATAAACAAATAAAAGAAAATTCCCACAAATGATCTGAAGATTAGAAAAACTTGGTATGGTAAATGAGACTTTTTACACACTGATCAACTTTTGGACATATTTTCACATGTATTTTTCTTCTAGTTTAAAAATTTGAAGAACAGAAGTATCCAAACAAATACAAAGTATCTTGTAATCTTTAATTCCTTTAAAGTATTGTAATCCACTTGCACTTTCAATTACTTGTGATTTTTTCCCCCCATAAAATTAAGACCAAAGTACATTTTAGACAAAAATAAATTTAGACACTTTAACCATTGAAAATCACACATAATGTAAAATTAATACCCAGTCATTTCAAATATAAAATCAACACAAGAATGGACACAGAATTGCTTGAGGACAAATAGATCTGCACTTTGTCACATTCACAATAATGAAGGCAAAGAGTATAATACAAACTTTGAATCAGCTTACATTGTGTGTGGCCAGCTGGATGTGGGGAGAATGAAGTAGGATATTTACATACCAGTACATGTCACTCAAAGAATCCAAAAATTATATATATATATATATATATATATATATGTTTATATATATGTTTATATCGCTTTTTGGCTTTGCCAAAGGTTTTTTTATCCCATCATTCTTTGATATTGTGTACATGGGGAATGATACAACAAACAAGGGACATTTGAAAATTTGAAAGGGCATGCCAACTTCATGCCCTTGGAAGCAAGAAAGCTTATGTTGGAAGAAGGAGAAAAAAAAAAAAAAAAAAAAAAAAAGAGAAGAAAAAGTGGCAAATGTGTGTGGAGATGGTAGAAAATAAATGTTAGAAAAGAGAGAATGTGGGGGTGGGGGAAGAGTGGCACTTGTTTTGCTGGATTCATGTGGGTATCTTGGAAAGCATGGAGAGAGCCTTGTGGGGTACAACTCTATGAGGGAGAAGGCTTGTGAGGAGGGATGTGAGGTCCATATGAGCATTGTAAGGCAAAAAGCCAGGTAGGTGTGTTGAATGGACCTCAGATGTGGTGACTGGTGGTCAGTAGGCAACTTCTTCATTCATTCATTCCTTGATTACTCAATTAATTCATTCTATTCATTCCTCCTCCTCCTCCTCCTCCTCCTTCTCCTCCTACAACAGCCTTGAGAAATTTTCTTAAATCTCTGCCACCTTTGGACATTTTTGGTTGTTAGATCCACCTCAGCCACAGAGACAGAGATGTCAGGTACACTCTTCCCAGCTTTCATGACAAATGCAGGGCTGCAAGAGGAGGAGATTCACATGACCAGAAGACTGTCCCCCAAATTGTTGTGGAATGGCACTGTTTAGGTGGGATGGTGGAGCAACATGAGTGGCAATACAAACCAAATAAAACTTGTTATTATTGCACACCCATCAACTGTACTTTTGTGTGTGTGTTGTGTACTACTAAAACCAGACATCTTGTGCAAGCAACACCCATTAAACTCTCCCACTTCAAAATTGAGTTCATTTTACCCACTGAGTCCACACCAATCTATTTTCATTAACATTCTGCAATGATGGCTGCCCAATAAAACATAAGGGACCAAACAGCATAAGATGTAAGAAGTTTTGTAATAGTAATATGGGAGTGTTTTTATTAGTTTGCACATAAATATATATATATATATATATATATGCACACATCATAGTGATTGCTGCAAGTTTACCCTTCAGTGTTTCCAAAATGTTTCTGGACTGTTTGGGAAAGGTAATTGAAGATGTGGTGAGACTCAAGCAACCCTGGACCCATTTTGAAACACAGGACCCCACTGTTTGTTGCTCTGTGTTCAAAGTGAACACAATATTTGAAGCCTGGAAACAGTATTTTCCTGCATGAATTACTTGGGTCCCAAGTGGATGAGGCTGATAAGACCACATGCACAATTTGAGTGGGACATGCCATCTGGAAGATGCAACTTGTGAATTGATGATAGAGTGTGGCCCTTGTGAGGTCTCCTTCTCCTTCTTCTTCTTCTTCTAGAAATAGAAACTTCCCTTCCATCCATGTGGACAAAGCCCTTAGAACAGTATTCACAGAGTGCCCCCTGGAAAGAAATACCATTCACACTCTATGAGATGTATTGCCATTTTGTATGGGACATCTTTGAGGGTTAGCCATAAACAACATCTAAGGGTGAATGGCATGTCTCCATCATCCCACACAACTTCAACCAGAGCCTTAAAGATTAAATAAATAAATAAATGCAAGGTGGGGAGTTGTGTCACACTGGAAAAGTCTCCCTGCATCAGCAGAATTGGGGTTACAGAGCAGTGGTAGGATGGTGAGCTATGGGATTGTCCTGTCCCAGTAATGCATGATCTTGTTATTAAATTTGGTGCCATGTCTCTAGTAAACAAGTCAAGCTCATGAAAAATTTTAGGCAATCAAGAGAAGTCAAGCAAAATCTTGTTGTGACCCATTTTGGTACTATGGCATCCCTGCACCACACCCTGTTGATGGAACCATTCAACACTTCTCTTGCTAGCCTCCAAATAGTACCCCTGTGGCACCCATTTGGTGACCATGCCCATTACCTGATATGGCAACCATTTGCAAGATAAGGACAGAATTGTGATTCTCACATGACATACAAAACAATAGTAATAATAAATACCTTTGAAAAAAGAAAAACTGAGTGAAAAAACTAATGGTGAAGAGTTTCATTTACTGCTGATTAAGAAGTGAGGATTGAGCAGTGTTCAATTCTCTTTGGTATTCTTTTCATATACTTGTGTATATATCCTTACATGCATTAGGATTATACAATGTGCATTTAACTAGTGAGACTTAAAATATATGTCAGAATTTGTACAAATCCTTCATACCATATGACCTCTCGTCATGTATTTGAAGACCTGATCTTAGTCAATGTTGAGTCCTAAGAGAATGTATGATATTTTGTTTTGTTCCTGTTTTATTGTCTTGAAAATTAAAACAAAAAATAAAATAAAATAAAAGGAACCCTATGCAATGAGTTATTAAATTGCACTGTACCAAAGTATTTCCAAATTCCTTATATAGCTACCATCTTGTCAATTTGGTTGTAGATTAGAAGAAGCTTTGGTCACATCATCTACAGAATATCAGTGTTATATACAAGATTGAAAAGAAGAGAAAAATTAGAAATGAGTTTTATTTTATGTAAGGTGATAACTAGGAATGTCTAGGCTTGTAAATAAGTAGTAGTTGTTGTGTGACTATGAAAAGCTGAAAGAATGTAAATATTGTATTGATCCTAAGCATTGTTGATAAGAAAAAAACTAATTTGTGATTCCATAATATAAAGCCAAATTTTCACATCAGATAGTAGTGGTTACATTGACTGTTAACTTGGTAACTAAATAAATTTCTTAAGCACATTGTCATTACAATTAAGAATGTAAAATGATTACAAGTTTTTTTCAAATGAACTAGCTCCAAAAGTACATTCCAAAACAAATTTTAAATGTAAGTAATAATAACAAACAAAAAGCAAGAATTTCATTTTCCTACTGAGTGTTTTACTATTTAAAAGCGCACTGATTTTTCTATTCATAGAAATTTTCTCAACTATTAACATGTAGGCATATTTGACATTTTTATTTAACATGCATCAAATACTGGTACTGAGGTTATATATATATATATATATATATATATGTATTTATTTTACTGTGTTAATCCTACCTGTGTTATGGTCCAAAATGTTTGTAAATGGTATTTATAAGTAGAGAGAAGATGAAAATTCACAACTATTAAATCTTGTGATTGGTTACATTTTTCAGGGACTCTTTCAACTAAGATTTGAAAGTTGATGCCTCTCACCTTATTATCTAAACATAAAGATCGCCTCCAATATAATACAAATATGTGTTAATACTTACTTTTCCCTTATTTCATTGCTTTCTTGTTCTACATGTTTGTTTGGTCAATGTGTGATTGGGTTTTGATGAGTTTGGTGTGAATCAATCATCCATATATTGGTTGAAACCAAAGATTCTCAAAAATCCATGCATTCCAATTATAGATCTAACGTTTTGCTTTGAATAAAGGGGAAATCGAGCTTATCCAAGAATGAAGAAAAATAGAAAAAAGAAGTTTTGTGGGCTTCCTAGAG